CTCAGTATTGGTTCATCAATTTCAACAAATGTATCGTACTAAGAAAGATGGTAACAATAGGGGAAAGTCTACATGTTTGTAGTGGAAGAGAGGGTATAAGCCAAGCATGGGGTGGTTCCTTCTACCTATTTATGGGTCCTGGCAGATACACCCCAAAACAGAGTAACAACGGACAATAACAAATTTATTAACACACATAAGCTTGGGAGTATACAAAACCTAACGAAGGACTAGGTGATTGCTGTTTTATTAGTTATTATTGTTATTATTTTATGTATATGAGTGTATTGCTTGCATGTAGGTCAGTGCACCCATGTCATGCAATGCCTGCGTAGGTCAGAAGAGGGCATTGAATCCCCTGGAACTGGAGTTACAGATGGTTATTAGCTGCCATGTAGGTGCTGGGAATTGAACCCGGATCCTCTGCAAGAGCAGCCATCCGTGCTCTTAACCATCTCCCCAGCCTGTGATTGATGTCTTTATAGTATGAAGGCCTGGGCTTCTCAAAGGAGGTTATAAGGCCAGCGTGGTCTATAAGTAAGCTCCAGGCCAGCTCAACTACAGGGAAACTCTGTCTCAAAAACAAACAGAAAAGAAATTTCATTTAAAGAATCAGAACAGGAGACACCGCAAGGGAGCAGTGGGCTGTGTGAACAAGAGTGACCCAGAGCCAAAGGTTGAGCACTGTAAAACTGATGAATTGTCTCAAAAAGACAAAAAAATTAATTAAATTTTTTTAATTTATTAATTTTTTTAAATTTAAAATTATTTAAAAATTATTTAAATTATTTAAAGTTTATGAATTGTCTGTTTCTGAAATTTTCCATTGAATATTTTTGCACTCTGCTTCACTGTAACTGAAACTGTAGGGAACAAAATCACAGAGAAACAGGACTAATGTGTGGAAAGGGTCCAGAGCCGTGTGCTCTCTCTGGATGCTAAATCCCTTCTATAAAATGCACAGTATCCACATAAACCTACACACATTCTCAGGAATACTGTGAGTCACCTGTAGATCCCTGATGATCGCTGAAGCAATGCAATCACAATATAGATAGGTGTTCCTGCATCCTTCAGCAGCAAGAGACACAGTCTGCATGTTCAGCACAGAGGCAAGTTTCTAAATGATCCTCAAAAGCAGAACTTACAGTTACAGAGACTTAGCTCTGCACTGGGTCAGGAAAAGACCTGCCATTTCCAAGCTTTATCCCATTATGTGGTACATAGTATAGTAACAATTCAGTAAGATTGTGTTTAAGAAAGATTATGAGGGCCAGCAAGATAGCTGAGCGGGTAAGGGTACTTGTGGCCAAGGCTGACGACCTGAATTCAGTCCCCACTACCCACATGGTGAAAGGAGAGAACCAACTCTACAAAGTTGTCCTCTGATCACTACATATGTCCTGTACCATGTGAGTCCTCTTGCATGCACACACACAGACACACACAGACACACACAGACACACAGACACAGACATACATAGACACACACACACACACACACACACACACACACAAATATTTTTAGAAAGATACCACAGAACTTTAAAAAACCAAAAAAGAGGGGGTTGGAGAGATGGCTCAGCGGTTAAGAGCACTGGCTGTTCTTACAGAGGACCTGGGTTCTGTTCCTAGCACCCACATGGTGGCTAACAACCATTCATGACTCCAATTCCAGGGGAACCAACGCCTTCTTCTAACTTCCACGGGCATTGCATGACACAGGTGCACTTACACACATGCAGGCAATGCACTCATACACATAAAAATAAGAATAAAAAGAAAATATTTTTAAAAACAGATTAAAAACTAGCTTCTTAATAAAAATAAAAATGTTTTTCCTTTAAAAATTATTTGTGTGTGTGTGTGTGTGTGTGTGTGTGTGTGTGTGTCTGAGTGCAGGCGTGCACTTGCCACAGCCTCATGTGGAGGACAGAGGACAACTTTTGGAGTCAGTTCTCACTGTCCACCTCATTGAGGCAGGGTCTCTCTTGTCCTGATGCTGGACTGTGAGCTCAGGCTCGCTGACCTGCCAGCTTCTTAGTGAGTCTCCTGTCTCCACCTCTCCTTTCACAGTAGGAGTGCTGGGATTAAGACATGTACCACCTCATCCAGCCCTTTGCATGGGTTTGGGGGATTGAACTTGGGTCATCAGGCTTGATGGCTAGCACTTTTACCCTCTGCGTCATCTTCCTGCTCTGATTTTCCTTTTTTGGCAGTTTATTGTGTTTGCTAAGAACAGCGCAAACAATCCCAGTCTTCACTCCAGCCTGATTTTAAGGTTCTGTTTCAGCTTCTCTCATTCTCCCTGGTGTTCTGTGATCAGAACTAGGAGTCTGTGAAGTACATCTCTCCTTTGTTAGCATGCTTCCTAATACATTCTGCTAACTAGGGCTTGCTAGAGGGCATCTGGAAGGTAGGAGGAAAGAAGGGGCTGTTCTTTTCTGTTTGCTTACTGATCTTCAAGTCTGTAGCGTTTCCACATTCCCGGGACTGTTTGGGGTTTTTTGTTTCTGTTTTGTTTTGTTTTGTTTTGTTTTGTGAGACAGGGTCTCCCTGTTGCCCCAGTTGGCCTGGAACTCACTATGTAGACCAGGCTGGCATCACAGAGATCCTCCTGCCCCTGAGTGCTGGGATTAAAGGCATATGCCACAGCTGTACAAAAAAAAAAACAAAAAAAAAAACAAAAAAAAAAAACCCAACTCCCAGCACTTTCAGAATGTCTCAGCAATGGCTCCCTAAGACTCTTGTTCCCAGCCCTCGAGGGACCAGCAGCTCCAGAGCCCTTTCCATGATTCAGCTTTTAGTTTTTTCGGATACACTTTTACACCAGTTGTCACTGATGATCATGCCCCCTGGTTTCTATGCCTCTGTCAGTCTATCTGCGTGATGGCAGCTAGACAGGGAACATGGCTGGTGATACAGCAAACAAGCAGAGGCTTCATGAGCACTGTGTACACAATCTGTTCTCTTGGAGTGTCACTGCTTCCTAGAGGGTAAAAACAAGGGGCTGGAGAGATAGTTCAGTGGTTAAGAGCACTGACTGCTTCTGCAGAGGACCTGGGTTCAATTCCCAGCACCCACATGGCTGGCGGTTAACGACTATCCATAACTTCAGTTCCAGGGTATCTAATGCCTTCTTCTGACCTCCAAGGGCACTGAACGACATGGGCGCACTTACACACATGCAGGCATTACACTCATAACATAAAAATAAAAAATAGAGCTGGGCATGGTGGCACACGCCTTTAGTTCCAGCACTTGGGAGGCTGAGGCAGGCAGATTTCTGTGAGTTTGAGGCCAGTCTGGTCTACATAGTGAGTTCCAGGCCAGCTGGGGCTACAGGGAGACCCTGTCTTAAAAAGACCAAAAAAAAAAAAAAAATTAAATTAAATATTAAAAATAAATAAATATTGACAGAGGTCAAGCCAACCAGACGTCCAAGCTGAAGAAACAACATTAACAAGCTCCATCAAGCTAGTCCTGAGAATGGGAAGCTTCTAACAATGTGGGGATGTTTGTTACGCAGCAATTTGGTGACAGTGAGTTGAGATAATCCTAACCCTTGCTTCCCGCCCCCAAAAGGATGGAAGGTGATTCCTATAGTTATTTACTGTGGCCTCCAAAGACCACTGTGACATTTTTTTTAAGTCTTCCAACACATATTTAGCGATTTCCCCCATAGTCTCTCTGCTATATCAACATGTAGTTTCTGTCTCCCACTGTAAAGGTAAGAAAGCTGAGCCTCAGAAAGATGAAGAGGTAGACCAAGGGTTGCTGCTCCCTCGGGCCTCAGCCAACTCCTGAGCTGCTGTACTTCATGTTAACACTTAATCTGTAGCAACCGACAACTGTCCCACCCAATAAGCAAGAATGATGGTGATTCTTTGAAGTTGACGTCATAGTGGGGACATCCAACGTCCTGAAGGTTCCCACTGGTGAACCAGCAGAGGGAGCTCTGTCCCTAAGGAGCTCCCAGCAGGGAATGGGAAGGCTTGGCCAAGCACCGCAGACTCATTGAGGGGACGGAAAGGAAGCGGGGAAGCATTGATTCGGCCCCAAATTAACTATGTTAGTTTAATTTTTAGAACAGGAAACTGGAGCTGCCTTAACGAGAGTGGACTACCTCAAAATGAAGGACTCTGGGGTCCTTTCCTGTGTTCCTCCATGCACACTGACCCCTCTCCAAGGCTATGGAGTGGACCACAGGGGTTACTGAGTAAAGGGATCTTCTTAGTTTCCCACCGCCTGGCAGGAATACTGGACGGCAGGTGTGTTCCATCCCTGGACCACCCGCCTCTTCCCTGGTCCCTTCCTCCCTGGACCTGTGTCTGCACTTGGCTCTAGAGACTTCCTTGTTCTTGTCCTTTGGCAACTTTCTTCCAGATGATGATGAGGGGGTCAAGGGGAGGGACTTTCCCTCCTCCATCATAGCAGCAAAGTCAAAGACTCAGGTCAATTAGCTAGAGCAAAAAAGGCACCTGCCAGTCCGGCCCATTCTAGCCACTTTCTTTCTTTCTTTTTTTTTTTTTTTTTTTTAAGTGTTAAGTCTCAGGAGCTTTATTGTCTGAATAACTGTACACAAAAAACCCAAGCTGAAGTCCCCAAGGGAATGATGGTCCTGTTTCACTGTTATTGACCCCTTGGTCCTTCGTCTTCTAAGCACTTACATGTTCTTTAAATGGTATTAGACATTTTGGTCACAAGTGCAATCACAAGTGTGAATAAATAAGTGTGGTGTCTTTTTTTTTTTTTCCCCCTCCATGTCCCTTTGAATTACAAAAAGTGCTAAATGTCTCTTCATGGCTGTTGCCACAGTTGTCCCACCTCTGTTTTTTTTTTTTTTTTTGTCTTTTTGACACAGGGTCTCCTCATAGCCCCAGCTGCCCTGGAACTCACTTTGTAGACCAGGCTGGCCTCGAACTCACAAAGATCCGCCTGCCTCCCGAGTGCTGGGATTAAAGGCCTGGGCCACCACACCTGGTCCACTTCCCGTTTTAAACAGACTGTAATGTGATCTTCCAAAATCCTTCTTGACCTACAGCTCATCCAGTTAGAGAAACCCTGGGAAAGAAGTCCTACTGGTATTGTCGGTAGTCCACCAAAGGAGAGGATGGTAATTGGCTTGAAGGCAACTGGGAGAGGTCTTCAGCAAACTGAGGGCCATTGGAAAACTGTGCAGAGGCAAATCTTGTCAACAAGATACTAGCTCCTTCAATTAAAGCCAGGAGAGTGCCACCCATCGCAGCTGACCCAACCATGGCCACAGGTCCATTTCTTGCTGCCAGGATGGCTCCTGTCAAGGCTCCACTTGTGATGGAGTTCCAGGGGTCTACTTTTCCTCTCACTTGAACCATACTGCAGTCAATCATAGAAAACAGTCCTCCCCACACTGCAAAGCTACCTCCCAACTGTGGAGCCCTGGTTTTAATGGCTGTCAAGCTTCCTCGTAGTCTGTGATTTACTCCCACTGGAGAATTTCGAAAACCTTTGATGGCTTGAAAGATACCACCTATGGTGCCCATAGTAAAGGCCACACCGTCATCCACAATTTGCCAGGGGCAAGGCTCCCTGGTGTACTCCTCCATCTTGGCTCCAGTGGCACCTCTAGCTACTTTCTTTGCACTGGGGTTTGGTGGTACAAACAACAGTCCCTCGACCTTTCTTTATGTTCCTGACTCCTTTGGACTGACTAATACTTGCTTTGGAACTAAGTCTAGATAAAACTGACAGGCCAAAAGTGGCACGTAGGCATTTTCTGATTCCTCTAGCCAAACGCCATTTTAAAATAGACTCAGACTGAGCATGGTGGCTCCCACCTGTAATCCCAGCACTTGGGGACTGAGACAGAAGGATTGTGAGTTCAAGGCCAGTCAAGGCTGTATACTGAATTCAAAGCTAGCCTGGACTATAGAGTGAGAACTTGTCTCTAAATAAATAAATAGAAAAACAAGTAAAAGCAGATATAATTATAGCTTATAGAATATATGTAACAAGCTGGGTATGGTGGTTCAGGCTTGTATACCAGCACTTGTTAGGTGGAGAAAGGAGCTTCAAGACCAGCTTAGGCTACGTAGAAAGACTTTGTATCCAGGGTTTGAGTGGTTGCTCACTTGGTAGAGTGCTTGCCTCACATACACAAAACTGGATTCGATCCTCAGCACCACATAAAACCAGGTGGCACACTCACCTCTGAAACCCCAGCACTTTGGAAGTGGAAGTAGGAAAATCAGAAGTTCAAGGTCATCCTGTGCTATATATAGAATTCAAAGCCAGCTTTGGCTACATGAGACCCTGTCTCATAGAAAAGTTAAAAAAAAAAGGAATATATGTGTTAAGAATAATAAAATAGCTGAGCATTGTAGTACATGCCTTTAATCCCGGCACTGGGGAGGCAGAGACAGGCAGATCTCTGCGAGTTCCAGGCTAGTCCAGTCTGCATAGTGAGTTCTAGGCCAGCCAAGTCTACATAGTGAGAGATTTTCTCAAAAAACAAACAAAAGAATAATAAAATGGATACTTGGGGACCCTCCATTCAATGTGCTCACCACCCACACCTGCTTCCTATCCATGCTTCCCTGTGTTCTTTGTGTCTCCTTTAGACAATTAACCTTGTCAAGTTGATAGGACTGAGAAATCCCTAGATTAATCTAGAATATTGCTAGTGGTGTCTGTGATGGTGTTTCTAGGAGGGTTCTGACCTAAAGAGCATATTAATCCGTGAATGGCTCCTAACATGGTGGTTTTATTGGGAGGTGGTGAAGGGTAGAGGGTGGAGCTAGCTGGAGGCAGTAGTCACTGGGGGTGTCTCCTGGGGGGTATATTTTGCCTTGGCCCCTTCCTGTGCTGCCCTTGTTCTCTGCTTCCTGACCACCTGGATGAAATTATTCTTCTCCACCCACCAGGATGGACTGAAATCTCTGAAACTGAACCAAAACAAATCTTTCCTGTCTGGTTTCTCCCAGGTATTTGATCACAGTGATCACTTACATGAGGATAACTTGATGTACAGGCAACTTTCAAGAGGCTGACCTGTAGTGCTCTTCTTATTTTTATTTAAGGTACGAGGTGTGGGCTGAGGAGGTGGTTCAGTGGATAAAGTTTGCCATGCAAGCACGAAGGCCTGAGTTTGGAACTCCTGCACCCACATAAAAATCTGGGTATGGAGACATGTGTCTATAACCCCAGTGCTGGGAGGCCAACAGGTAGGGGCTTACTGGTCAGTCAGTTTAGGCAAAAATGGTGAGTTCAAGTTCAGTAAGAGACCTTGTCTCAAAATATAAATTGAAGTCAGGCATGGTGGCATGTGCCTTTAATCCCAGCATTTGGAAGGTAGAGGCAGGTGAATCTCTGTGAGTTCAAGGCCATCTTGGTCTACATAACAAGTTCCAGGCCTTCTGGGCTACAGGGAGACCCTGTTTTAAAAAAAGACCACCACCACTACTACTACTACTACTACTACTACTACTACTAATGATAGGAAGAAGAAGAGGAGGAGGAGAAGGAAGAAGAAGTAGTTGTTGAAGTGGGGCTGGAGAGATGGCTCAGCAGTTAAGAGCACTGGCTGTTCTTTTAGAGGAGCTGGGTTCAGGTGCCAGCACCTACATGGTGGTTAGCAACCATCTGTAACTCCAGTTCCAATCCTAAGTCCTCTCCTGACCTCGAAGAGCAATGCATGCCTGTGGTGCACTCACATACATGCAGGCAAAACATACACATAAAAGTTGTTTTTGAAAAAGGTGAAGTGGGGCTGGAGAGATGGCTCAGTGGTTAAGAGCACTAGCTGCTCTTGCACAGGACCCCAGTTCGATTCTCAGCACCCATACTGTGGCCAGCAACTGTCCATAACTCCAGTTCTGGGGGATTCACCACCCTCTGTGGGCGTTGAATGACACAGGTGCACTCACATACATGCAGGCAATATACTCATACACCTAAAATAATTTTAAAAATAATAAAATATTTTTAAAGGGTGAAGTGATGGAGGAAGCCATCCCAGTGTCAACCTTTGGCTTCCACATGTGCCCACATGGGTGCATGCACCCCCACATTCATGTACACACAAATAAAATACAAATCTTATGAAGGGCTTCTATCATGTGTGACAAACACATGATAGCTCAAATACTCTTCATACACAATCCATGAAAAGGAGTTTCAGAACTATAATTTTTGGTTATTTGGACATCTGGTGATCATTGGTCCCTAAAAATATAATAAAATGCTGATTATTGCAATTATATTTATCCTTTTATATGGGCAATTTTTAGAAGTTCAGGCCTTCAATTTGGATTTGTCTTATTGTGCCCTCATACTTGGGTTCAGATTAGCTATTTTTGGTAGGAATACTGTACAGGGTACACTGTATCCTCAGTATCCCATTAGTAGCTAACTGCTGTCAGACTGCCCTATTACTGGTAATGTTAAGTTTAATCACTTAGTTAAATGGATAGCCACCAGATTCTTCCTTTGGAAAGATATATTTTACCCTTTGTAATTAATAAGTAATCTGTGAGGTAATTAATTATTTGAGCCCAGGTCAATATCCTTTTTATCATGTTGTTTTGCGGATGGGATTAGTATTTATTGATGAATCTTGCTTGCATTGGTTGTTATTATAGTGATTACAATTTTTCCCTCTGACCTTCTGCCTTCCTAAGATTTGATCTGAGGTAACAGCCTTTTGCCTTTTGTTCTCCAGTAATCACTGTAAGGCAACCACAAAATTTATTTTTAAATTTCACTTTATTCTTTAGTTTTTTGTATTTTTAAATATTTTATTATTTTTATTTTATGTGTATGAATGTATTGCCTGCATGTATGTGAGTGCACCTGTGTCGTGCAGTGCCCATGGAAGTAAGAAGAGGGCGTCAGATCCCCTGGAACTGGAGTTACAGATGGTTGTCAGCCTCCACGTGGGTGCTGGGACTCAAACTCGGGTCTGCTGCAAGAACAGTCAGTGCTCTTAACTGCTGAATCACCTTTCCAGACCATTTTTTTTAGATTTTGTTGTTGTGGTTTGTTTTTTTATAGGGTCTCCTTAATCCCAGTCCACCTGGAAGTGAACTAGGGTGGCCTCCATCTCACAGAGACCTACCTGTCTCCACCTCCCGAGGGCTTTTTTTTTTAGTATTTTTAGGCCATTGTCTTATCTTTTTTGGTTTCTGATATTGATAGTGAGGATTTTCCTGTTTGTCATCTCATGTAAGGGATCTAACTTTCATCAAGAAATGAAAGGCTAGGGCTGATGAGATGATCAGTGGGTAAAGGTGCCTACTGCCAAGGCTGACGACCTGAATTGGATCCCTAGAACCCACATGGTGGGAAGGAAAAACTAACAAAAGTTGTTCTCTGACCCCCACATAGGTGCTGTAGCATGTACCCACCCCACTAAATAAATAGTAATGACAAATTTTTTTAAAGAAACAGAAGGCTAGCTGGGTGTGGTGGCGTACACCTTTAATTCCAGCAGAGGCAGGCGGATCTCTGTGAGTTTGAGGCCAGCCTGGTCTACATAACGAGTTCTAGGACAGCTGGGGCTACAGGGAAACCCGGTCCCAAAAAAACCAAAAAAAAAAAAAAAAGAAAAAGAAAAAAAAAAAAAAGAAACGGAAGGCTAAATTTGAAACAAAATGTAACTTTAAGAGATGAAATTTGTAATCATTTAAACAAATGTAATAGACACATTAAGTCTAAAATTGGCAAAGATAATGAGAAAACAAGTGAACTGGAAGATAGATCTGAAGAAATTATCCAGTATGCAACACAGAGGAGAAGGGAGCTATGAAACAGGTCCTGGGTATGTGGGTGGAATAACAAAAGTTCTAACACACATCAAATTGAAGTCCATGCGAGAACAGCAGGCGGTGGAGCTGAAGAGGGTGGCTGGGAACAGTACAGGATTTTGAAAGCCATTTTGTTCGTTCGTTCTTTTCTCTTCCTTTCTTTCTTTCTCTTTCTTTCTTTCTTTCTTTCTTTCTTCCTTTCATTATTTTTTATGTGTATGAGTGTATTGACTCCATGTATGTGAGCACGCCTGTGTCATGCAATGCCTCAGAGGTCAGAAGAGGGCTTTGGATTCCCCTGGAACTGGAGTTACGGATGGTTTGTAGCCGCCATGTGGGTGCTGGGAATTGAACCCAGGTCCTCTTCAAGAGCAGTCAGTGCTCTTAACTGCTGAGCCATCTCTCCAGCCCCACCATAAGTTCTTAGAGGCAGGTGTGGTCATTTGCCCCTGCTGTCCTAACCACATACCACAAACAGGGTATCTTTTTTATCCTTCACAATTCTAGATGGTGGAAATCTGAGGTGAAGTTGTCTGAAGGATTGTTTTCCCCTGTCCTTGGCCTGCAAATGGTTCTCTTCTCCCTGTGTCCTAGCCTGGTCTTCCTTCTGTGTGTGTCTGTCCTAACCATCCCGTTTTACAAGGTCAGCAGTCGTACAGGGTAAGGACTTGCCCTGCTAACCTCATTTCACTTAATTACCTCTTTAAAGAACCTGTCTGCAAATAAAGCCACATTCTGAGACTCTGGGGGTTAGGGTTTCAACATTTGAATTGGTGGGGAAACACAATTCAGACCATATGAATAGGA